TGCAAAGAAGTATACATTTTATTCACCAATATGTAGCGTTTATAATAACATTTATGAGAGCGTGCGCGTTCCTCCGCAGCTGGAGCGAGAATGAGGGCGCCAAGATCCTGGCGGAGGCGCAGTCGTCACAACACAAGGTAATACATAACACAATATCTGAGTTTTCAAGAAATATATATGTATGTATATATATAATTTAGTTTCATGTATATTTGTACTTTTAAATTTCTATATTAAGTGATGTCTTTAAATAATAAGTCAAATTACGAAGAACAACTGTAGCGTTTTTCCTTGAGTGAAGTCAATTGTGCTTGCCAAGGTCTTGAGACGAAATATTTTATACATTAGTTATCTTTCGTATGGAAAAACATTCCTTGTATACATGTCCAACTACTTGGACCGGGCGGTATAACGACGACCTCGCTTCTTGCAAGTCAGGGTTCGAACCCCGACAGGCCAAGTGGTAGCACCATTCCTTTCCTCCGTCCTCACGTCCTATCCATGTGCTATATAGTACTAATTTTGTGCTTTCTTCTGATAATTATCTTATCCATGTTTAAGAGTTAATCAGTCCTCACGTTTAATGCACCACAATTGTTACGCCGACGGGTTGTTAAGTATCCTGAAATGGCCTTCAGAAGCAGGCTGGCGAGGGTGGTAGCGAGGCGGACCAGGAGACCAGGAATGGAGAAGGACAGGAGGGAGAACTGGCCCAGGAGACCCTGCGGCTCCTCCTGCTAGGGGCTGACCTCAAGCACGTGCTCTGTACCCTCCACAACACGCCGGACACCTGCACACAGGTACCTCGTCCCACTCAGGATACATATTTCCTTCTTGAAGTCTTCCATCAGCTTGATACAATATTGTTGCATATAATTTGTTATCTGATCGCATACTGACACGCCATTCTAATCTTATGTGACAGGGTCTGGAGATGGTCTTGGTGGACTCGAGTCCGCATATCCTGGCCAGAGACCTGTTGATCCTGTACCTGTTGATGCTACCGGACGCCCACGACCCCCTCCAGGACCCCGTCCTCATCCAAGCCCACGCAGAGAAGGTCCCTCTACCTTTGATCATTTTGACCTCCGTCGAACCGTATAAACCCATTTTGTTTTCTTTATTAAATAATATACAATATAAAGATCATATTCACATTAATTTACAAGGGGAAAATACTACATTTATATATATTTTTTATATAATTCTCAGTAAACCAATTTTCCATATCATCATCGAGCAATGAACCGTAAACCCCAAATGTTATATTTGATCCTGCCTCGCAAGAACTTCAATATTCTGTCTACTAAGTAACCCTCCTGCCTGCTTATCCACACACACTAAATGTAATCAGAAAGTAGCATAATTGTTGTATTCTTAATTTTCTTGCATTTTATGTCAATATGAAACATTAAACACCTCATTAACTCCACTCTAATGCTTGGTCCACATAAAGCTTTAAGAGTGTCTGTAATCCAGTTTACAAGAATAATTTTCTGCTTACAGAAATAAAATATATGCATATTATTCTCAATTTCAGAACATTGGTCACACCTATTGTTGTCCTTAATGCCCAACATCAACAACCTATCATTAGTAGGGAGGGTCTCATGAATATAGTGATACAATAGCTAACGTTATTTTGGGGCAATATATTTAACATGAAGGTTTGTTTGCCCATATTACTTGCCAGCTAAAGAGTGGATATGCCTCCTCTACTCTAGGAACTATATATGGGAGTAGAATATCATACACTTGTTTACTGTTCATCATTAAAAAATCTTCAATATTACAAATCCGCCTGAGAACATCAATTACACAGAGTTAAAAGTGAGGTGAAATAAAGGCAAGATCAGTATACTCTGGCATATGCATCAAGTAGCTAACACGTAATTTACAAAAATAATATCCTAACGCATTTACACTATTCCTTAGCATTATCTCCTTTCTAAAGGTAACACATAAGATTGCCAATGACTTATGGTACACATTCAGTATTCCTATTCTACAGTCTTTCTTACCTCTATATAGGGTAGTCCGTTTAATTGGTTGGTATCTACCATACCATACATATCTAAAAATAGTTTTGTCAATCTCCATAGCAATTTTCTTGTCAATTGGAAAAACTGTGAGACAATTACCACACTTTACAAAAAAAATTACAATTGATTATTACAGCCTTCAGAAACAGGGTTAATTTTCTATTTGACAACATATTCGTAGCTACTATTATATTTCAACATAGTACTTGCTAATTCGTAACCAATGTTGCTCCATATGTTTTATACCAGCAAATCCCACGAGCTTTAATAGACTCCACTACCTTGAACCATGAACCTGTCCAGGTAACTTTATTACACCAACTGCCGAGCCCCACCATACACGTTTTGTTCTTGTTAATGACAGCACCTGTTGCTCTCTCAAAGTTGTCACATTCACTCACGATGAAACATCTTACTTGCTTCTGTTTGTCATACTTTAACTAAACATCTCATTAATTCACACCAAGAATGTGATGTATTTATAGGATAAAATGTTCTAGTCATTGGAGGGTATACATATACTTGTTTATATTTGTATATAAACTGACACTGAAATTTGTATTGCTTATAATGATTCTGTGTGGAGTGGAGGAGTAGTGACTAAGGTGAGAGGTGTTGGTGCAGGTGGTGATGGTGTTCTACTCGCTGTGTCTGGACATGGAGACCCACGCCCTCCTCTGTAACACTCTGCACAACCTGCTCAACATGACCCACGCTGACTTCCTCCACGAAATGCGCCAACAGGTAATGCGCTGACCTTATCCTGTGTTAAGATTCAGCTACTGGCAATCAAAAGTTCCAAGTAGCACGGGCTATGGTGAGCCCGTAGTGGACTTACCTGGCGCTTGAGCGGGGCTGTATAGGAGGATGGGTTGTATATATGCAAATATATATATATATATATATATATATATATATATATATATATATATATATATATATATATATATACATATATATATATATATTCCAATCATCCTATTAATTAAGTCTTGTTCGAGTTTAACCTGTGACATGACAATACTATATACAACCAACAGTACCATTTTCAGTTAATGAAAATGTATATATGAATATATATAATTGTTACTAGTAATATATACATAGTTTCATGAATGTACATCAGCCTCCACTAGTCCATTCATCACATGTAGGAACAGATATGAAAACAGTGTGATATAATTCTAGCCAAGTCTTACACCACAGGTTCAGGTGGATGCTGGGACCTACACACTGGTGCAGGCAGTGTGGAATGGCTGGATGAGCTTCGCTAACGACCCATCAGCTCTACAGAAGTTGGAGAAAGTACGTTCCCTGAAGGTGTCTGGTAAGATGCTTAAGGAGGTCCTGGCTCGCTACATCAAGTCATGTCCTAAGGATCACCAAAAAGCAGTAACTGACTGGATAAAGAGAGGATCCATGAAGAAATGCCGCGGAGGGAACTTTCCAAACGTCACACTGGCCTGCTTCAGTCCGCTGAAGCGAGAGTACCTGGACAAGTTCGAGGACGTGAGCCCCAAGTGGTCAGAAGAGACGGAATGGATCAAGGCAGTGACAGCCGAGGATGACATGATCTACGCTCCTCACGGCATCGACATGATCTTCCAAGACTGGGACTTTCTCACTTTGTCGCGTAAGGTTAAGAAAGAGAGCAATGTCGTTGAAATGTATACTATATATCTCACTGAAGTGTTTTCGAGGTCGAGTTATAAACTCCTACGATCCAAACAAGTCTCGATCACCTTCATCCGAGCAGATGTTCGTGATTTGTCATCAGATAGCAAGTGTCTGAGTGGCAAGTTTGACAGAGTGGCTACGGGTATCCATGCCGACCTGCTAGGAACGCCGTACGTGCTGCAGCATTTCGGTAGCTTGCTGCGGACGGACAACATATACTCGCGGCTCTTGACCCACCACCGCGTGTGGTCGCTGTGCTTGGACTGGCGCAGTGACCAACAGGCTCGTGAAACCTGCCTCAAGAGCCTTAAGTGTAACCGAGCACCTGATCCACTCCTCATGATCACCGGACGCTGGGCCACCTTCAGACACTTTTTGCAGGCGGAGCTTCTTCATCATCTTCACGTGCTGGATGGAAGACCCCTGGAGCCAGAAAATGTCCTCGTATTCAAAAACGTGAGTCATGCTTATGATATGGTGCTCTCTGATTACACGCGGCAACTGAACCACATTGTGCCTTTCAGATTCCAGGCAGACAAGAGGACGGTGAGCATGGTTGACTCTCGTCTCCATACATTAGAGTGGCGCCGTTTGGGACGCACTCGACGGGCCTCTGCTCCCGCAGCCACAAACCCTGCTCCCAAATCCCTGCCCTCTACACCGAGTCATGACGCAGACCCGGCCTGCCGCTATGTTGATAACCTCATATACTTGTCTCAGAACCCATCTGCGTCGTCGCCTTCTCCTGATAGTCGAGTACGTGGCCGTACAAATGGACGCGAGGGTTCTCTGTCGCCAGGCCCGATTGAACAATCATCCAGAGATGACCGCCCATCTCGCCCTCGCACCACTAACAGAATGCGTCCACGCAGCCTCTATGTGTCAACACGTTGCAAGAGCCCTTTACTGTCACCAGAATTTGACTTCTGGGAGCATCACAACATTATACAGGAGAAGAAGACACCAACATCTCGTGCGTACAGTGAAATTCCAGAAGGCATTAGCCGCCGCATTCAGCAAGCTCTGCAAGCCGATACTAAACAAGAGAAGATCACACCTAAAAGTGCTCCAGTGTCTCCTGAGCTGACAAGAAAAACCAAAGCAGTAAAAGAAAAGGCGAATGCGTTTGAGCGGGGTACTGTTGCTCGCTTGTCTCTCCCAGAAACTCGGAAAGCAGTAGAAACTGTTACCCCGAGCACTCCTGTGAAGAAACTGGTGTCAATGTTCTCCAAAGCGTTTGCATTGAAAGATAAAGAAACGGACGTGGGGAAGAGATTTAAGAGGAGTAACAGCCTCCACGACAGCTGTCGAACACCTGAGGAGCAAAATGAGTTTCAGAATATGAGTTCTACAAATTCATTAAGGTTCAATCGAAGCAGAAGCAGAACTCAAACAAATGGAGCAATGAGCAAGGCCTCGGAGTGCGGAATGAGCACCTTCCCACGTATGTCTCGACCTCACTCCATCGCAGGCAGCAAATTTTCATACCTGGAGGGCTGCCCAGACAAAGACCAACAATTAAGCAGCCCAATATCAAGTTCAGTTACGAAGTATGACATAAAGAAATCTACGGCTGTCGACACAACTGACAGCCCACGTAACAAAAAGGGTCACGTCTCCCCAATCAGGAGCTTAATTGCCGGGTTGAACACAGTAAGCTTGAGTCCGGTATCTCAGCAAGCAGCCGGCCACCAGGGGACCACTTCCCCGCGAGACATCATCGCCATCAAACGGGAAGAGTTGCGGAAGGTCAACCTCAGGCCCTGTAGTCAGCGCCTTCCGAGCCCTGTGTCACCCTTACCTTCCTCAGAGATCAAAACTGCCAACCGCCCAGAATCGCCGGCTACCGAACCAAGCAGCAGCAACATGCTGGATAAAAACACCTTCTACCGTCGAAGGAGCTCCTTTGAATCTATAACAGAAAAGGAGTCACAATCGAGGAAGTCACCAACGCCACCACCGTGGAAATCGGCATTGAAAAAATCTATCAGAAAGATTCCACATGAACCCGAATATCTGGCTCCTTCCCTTAACAAATCCCAGCCGGCTTCCAGGCCGTCACCAACGTCACACTCTCACAAGTCACAGACCTGGACCACAAGCAGTGATCAGGATGAAAATGTAAAAGTTAAGACACCAGGAAGCAGCGAATCAAATTGTGTATCGACTCTGTCAGACGTCCAGAGAACCAGTTTACCGGAGTGTATATTTTCCCCCAGACCCACCCCAGGTAGAGGTATAAGAAGTATTTGCCAGCCCCAGTCTGAAGGGTGTCTGCAGTCAGTTCGAAAGAAAAGATCTGTGATGAAAATAGAAACTTCAAAGGCTGACGAAAATAGCACAACTGTTAGTACTAAGTCTGACAAAAGTAAAACAACCTCTTCCTCCAGTAAGTCTGACTCCAGAACACCCATCTCCCCCTCCAGTAAGTCTGACTCCACGACACATATCTCTCTCTCCAGTAAATCAGACTCCAGAACACCCATCTCTCCCTCCAGTAAGTCAGACTCCACAACACCCATCTCCTCCTCCAGTAAGTCAGACTCCACAACACCCATCTCCTCCTCCAGTAAGTCTGACTCCATACCAACCATCTCCCCCTCCAGTAAGTCTGACTCCATACCAACCATCTCCCCCTCCAGTAAGTCTGACTCCACAACACATATCTCCCCCTCCACTAAGTCTGACTCCACAACACCCATCTCCCCCTCCAGTAAGTCTGACTCCATACCAACCATCTCCCCCTCCAATAAGTCAGACTCCACGACACATATCTCCTCCTCCAGTAAGTCTGACTCCACAACACCCATCTCCTCCTCCAGTAAGTCTGACTCCACAACACCCATCTCCTCCTCCAGTAAATCTGACTCCACAACACCCATCTCCTCCTCCAGTAAGTCTGACTCCACAACACATATCTCCTCCTCCAGTAAGTCAGACTCCACAACACATATCTCCTCCTCCAATAAGTCTGACTCCATACCACCCATCTCCCCCTCCAGTAAGTCTGACTCCACAACACCCATCTCCTCCTCCAGTAAGTCAGACTCCACAACACCCATCTCCCCCTCCAGTAAGTCAGACTCCATACCACCCATCTCCCCCTCCAGTAAGTCTGACTCCATATCACCCATCTCCCCCTCCAGTAAGTTTGACTCCACAACACCCATCTCCTCCTCCAGTAAGTCAGACTCCATACCACCCATCTCCCCCTCCAGTAAGTCTGACTCCATACCACCCATCTCCTCCTCCAGTAAGTCAGACTCCATACCACCCATCTCCCCCTCCAGTAAGTCTGACTCCATACCACCCATCTCCCCCTCCAGTAAGTCTGACTCCACAACACCCATCTCCTCCTCCAGTAAGTCAGACTCCACAACACCCATCTCCCCCTCCAGTAAGTCAGACTCCACAAGACCCATCTCTCCCTCCAGTAAGTCTGACTCCACAAGACCCATCTTCCCCTCCAGTAAGTCAGACTCCACAACACATATCTCTCCCTCCAGTAAGTCTGACTCCACAACACCCATCTCCTCCTCCAGTAAGTCAGACTCCACGACACATATCTCCCCCTCCAGTAAGTCTGACTCCACAACACCCATCTCCTCCTCCAGTAAGTCTGACTCCACAACACCCATCTTCCCCTCCAGTAAGTCTGATTCCACAACACCCATCTCCCTCTCCAGTAAGTCACACTCCACAAGACCCATCTCCCCCTCCAGTAAGTCAGACTCCACAACACATATCTCTCCCTCCAGTAAGTCTGACCCCATACCAACCATCTCCTCCTCCAGTAAGTCAGACTCCACAAGACCCATCTCCTCCTCCAGTAAGTCTGACTCCACAAGACCCATCTCCTCCTCCAGTAAGTCAGACTCCATACCACCCATCTCCTCCTCCAGTAAGTCTGACTCCATACCACCCATCTCCTCCTCCAGTAAGTCAGACTCCATACCACCCATCTCCTCCTCCAGTAAGTCTGACTCCATACCACCCATCTCCTCCTCCAGTAAGTCAGACTCCATACCACCCATCTCCCCCTCCAGTAAGTCAGACTCCACAACACCCATCTCCTCCTCCAGTAAGTCAGACTCCACAACACCCATCTCCCCCTCCAGTAAGTCTGACTCCACAACACCCATCTCCCCCTCCAGTAAGTCAGACTCCACAACACCCATCTTCCCCTCCAGTGAGTCTGACTCCACAACACCCATCTCCCTCTCCAGTAAGTCACACTCCACAAGACCCATCTCCCCCTCCAGTAAGTCTGACTCCACAAGACCCATCTCCCCCTCCAGTAAGTCTGACTCCACAACACCCATCTCCCCCTCCCCCGTCATCAAAGAGGAAGACGTACTGGCAGATATAATATTATCACCAGAGGACCTCATGTCACCGACATCAACATCTATGTCGTCCTCGCTAACAGACGCGGACATGGAGGTATTGGAGCTGCTCTCACATCACGAACAGTTTTGCCCAATACAAACTTTCTCGCCTGACACTGATGACCAAAGCATAGTATTTATCCTTAACCAAGACGTAGAGGGAAACATTAATCCTGAAATAGAAAGTTCCCGAAATGAGACGGATATCCAGAAGCATTTTAGAGAAGACTTACTTTTGCCAGATGATACAGATCACACATTATGTAAAATAAGTTCAGAGGAAGATATTGATTTGGAGTACGTTGACAGCGATTCAGGAGGGCAGTCACCGGACGTCAGCGAGCAACGTACGCCCTCCGTGTGTAGGATGATAGAACACTTTGCCCAGCGTATCCAGGAGCAACAAGAACTGCTGGAGCGTCCTCCCAGTCCGAAAAGAGATATTATAAGGCGAATATTCTTACACCAAACCAAGGAAATGTGCTCTGGCTCACATGACGCAAAACAAGCTCTAACTCCTCAAAGCACCGAAGGCTCGAATGGGTTAATTCCAGATAACATAAAAATAGGAACTACAAATTTGGAAACTGGAACGAAAGAAAACATTTGTGAATCAACACCTGAGCCATCCCGTCTGCTCACACATGAGGATAGCAAAGACGAAGAAACTCTAAAAACCAAGACTGATGTAGAGACTGACATCCAACCAACTCTTTCAAGTCCTAGGCTGTCATTACGTCTGCAGGCCGCATCAGTGGAAGAACCCTCGCCAAATCTTGTCAATAAAATGGTGGAACAATTTGATCAGCAAATCCAGGCTCAGTCTCTGCCAACTTCACCAACGTCTTCACGCCCCAACTCTATTGCATCTCTCATTCAGCAAGATATGTTGCGACTATACACAACGCAATCCAAAGTCGCTAGACTGAATGATGACACAATAGAAAACCCATCTCCGATCGGTGAAGATTTTTTTGAAGAAACAACGTTTGAAATTTATGATGACGACGACAAAGAAACGGAAGATAAAAGTTTGGAGATAAATAATAAGATACCCTCCGAGCCAGAAACATCGGACAGCGATGATGACGTAGAAGCAACAGTTCAAATGGGAAACCAAATTTGTGTTATACCCAAAAGAACTGTGAGAGAGATCAGACCTTCAGTATGCGATGAATTGCGCCACGAGTTTCTACAGAAGATCAGAAGCTTAGATGACGATCTAAGATCATTAGAAAAGAAAAAATATGAAGAGCGCAGAAATGCAATGAAAGATAAAAGAAAAGATATTCAACACGAAGGGAAAATAGTCACAGATGAATTTGCTAATGTGCAAAGCCTTTACAGGGAACCACGACCAAAAGACGCGAAAGATGTGCCTTACACTGAGCTGGAGGACATAGAGCACATAAAGGACGATTCAGAGTATTTCCCCGTGTCTTGTAGCAATGAACCAACAATAGCTCTTCAGGTAACTCAAGAGCTGACTCAACTCGAGCCCAAGAATCAAACGAACTCTAAGATCTCAGAAGACGACACGTTCACATCTAACTTCTCCTCTAGTGCATATACTGAACCGAGGGGCTCTGAAGATAAAAATATAGAATATTCACCCACCAACTCATTGCAAAACAAATCAGTGGAACACGTAATTGACTCTGACGAATCACTTCACATAATGCCAACGCTCAAGTCCAGTAAGACAGGTGGATTAGACAGACTTTCATTTCGAAATTATGTCAAGTCGAGCATTGCCAACGAGACTCTGGTATCAGAGTCGGAGCAGCCGTCGACCTGTGTGCTGGAGCATGACACAAAAGTGATGGAGTACACCTCAAGTTTTGAAGTTTCCACTGACGAGTACAGAGCTGACCCGGAATCCGTGGAGGAGGCGGTGGAAGCTATCTCTTTCTTGTCATCAGATGATCACCGAAGGAGCAGGATGAGTCAAGGGTTCACTTTTTACACCAATGAGAGTGAAGTGGCAGAAGACCAGAACTGTGGAGACAAATACCAGGCAACAGAGAACAAAAAACACAAATATTATACACGAAGGAGAACACTGCCAAGTGTTCCATCCGATATTCAACATGAGGATTATGATTCACATCGCGGAAGTTCAACAGCCAGCCTACGTAGCTGTGATGACAAAGAATGCACAGATTCCATGACTGCTTGGGAAGATGACAAAGATTCCTTTGTGATCAGGGGACGTGCTCAGGCCAGGCATTCTACACAGCTTCACATGAGACATGTCGATGAAATCAAGCGATGCCGCCATAGCGATGAAAAAGTATTTACATACGGAACCTTTGATGCACCAACAGAGACAACCAAAGATGTACGGCGATTTACCTGGGGTAGTTTAAGAAGGAAGAAAAAACAGGATTATTCCAAAGAAAAGAAAGAAGAAACTAAACCTGGTGATGCTGCATATATCAAGCAGGATAATTTGTCTTCGAAGGTACAATCAGAAAAAGTTAATAAAGGCACCGCATATAATTTTTTCTTTGACAGAAAGAAAAATAAATTTGAAAACGATCAATTTCCTGGCACTCCGGACAATACAAGAACTAATCCATCACTCTACAAGAACCTTACAGATTCTTCAAGTAAAGATAATACAATCCCCACCATCGTCTCCGTTCTCCCAAAACAAAGAGAAAACGAGCCAACTGATGTTGATTCACATTTTGGAAGAGAAAGGCAAACCTATAGAAGTAAGATGGCATCAGAATTAAAGCCGAAACTGAAGAAAAGAATTCCTTTTTACAGGGATTCTTCCTCTTCTAGCGATAATTTCTCACAATCACTCCTTCGACTCATAGCCCCTGCCGCTCTTGAAGAAAAACAGTTGCTCTCGGGTGGTGAAGACAGTCCTAGTATTCAAGGAGAAGCTTCTGAAGTTAGTGAAGGTGAGCAAAATTACTCACCTGAGTATCCGTCGTCGGCTTGTGTCAGGAGCAGAGATCCCTGGGTCAGAAGAGATCTTCAGGACACCATGGTTGAAAGTGCATCGCTTTCAGACGAGGCCGACGTGTTCTCTAATGATGTATCATCCTCAAATGACGAAATTTCGCAGGTGAATCATAATGGTGGGGTGGAGGTGCGTCCGCGAGCTGGGGTGCTCAAGACAGGCCGCGATCGTAGCCGCGACTCGCGCCGAAGCTTACGCGTCTCGTGGGGAGACCTGCCGGAGAGGATGGACTCTCCCTCACAGATTAGCGACGCCGAAGATCATGACGACGACAACAACGACGACTACCACGAACAAGACGAACATCAACAAACACAAGAGCATGGCCCAGATAAACAGGATGAGAAAGCTTATCGAGTCACCCAGCTTTAGAGACTTATAAAATTAAGCTGTACAAAATAATATACTTATGTCAGGTTACGCAAACTGCTGCATGTTTCGTCTAGCTCCGGATTACGATGCCTAAGAAATTACTCTGCGGTATATTGATGACCCTTTCACTATTAAGAGAAATGTGCGAAATATTTATATCTCAATTGTTCTAATTTGGAATATAATTGCTTGTCACGGTATATCATCATGCTTTTGTATAATATACAATGTTATGTGAATCTGCAGAAGAGGATATAACACAATAGTACTGATCGGTCAAAACGGTTCAGATATTCACATTGTCGCTTGAGAAATGAAATTCGTATAATTTTTCAGTATTTAGCTTTCTTGTTAAATCTAGCCTACCCTCCAAAGGAAGCCTTTCAAGGGCTGGACATATAACTTTAGCTTTATAACGGAAAGCCTGGTTAGACTTGGATCACAATATCCTATTTTCTCTTTACAGCATATCGAAATCTAATGAGGCAAACATAGTTCTCTTGTAATTTAAGCTTACAGTAATCGAGTTATTATACATAATATTATATATATATATATATATATATATATATATATATATATATATATATATATATATATATATATATATATATATATATATATATATATATATATATATATATATATATATACGTTTGTGGTGCATTTAGTGAAGAAAGTAATGGCTTGCTTTGTTCTTTATCTTCTATTCTATTCTAAAAAACATACTGTATACTTTTATTAATATTGTACTATATAATTTTCAATACATTTGCACCCAAGGTACTGTATTTTATGCCAAGATTAATTTATGCGCGAAAACTGCATTTGTCCTTTTCCGTTGTTAAGTCTTAGTACGTCTTGCGTCCTATAGTTTACGAGCAGCAGCGCCTCTTTCTTGCCAAGAATACGAAAGTTTTTTCAGTGATAAATCCTCATCCCTGATATTACTGTAGTTTTATTTAATGAGTTATGTCCTATTACACATGTAAGACAAAGGGTGGAAGAAGTGCAGACGCTATTAGTCACTTGAGACCAGCCAACATCACAAAAATATAATAATAATAATAATATTATTTTTATTTATAACCTCACGTTTAAAACAACATTCATATGCTATTCGTACAGCCTTGCATTGTATTTACATTCCAGTTTATGTGATCATTCTATTGACTTCAGAGGGGCGAAATGTGTTGTTAAAAGTAAAGGTTTCGTTGAACGAAATGTGATTGAGTCCGCTCTGATCAAACAATGTAACAACAGCCATAATGTAAGCCCTGGCATGTACAAATTAGATCCCCATTTAAGCTTCAATGTAGCACATCAATACAATATAGCATCCATTTAAACTGTTTTTATTTATTTTCTTCCAGCGGCACTTTATATATATGTGTGTATATCAAGAAAATAAACACGTGATTAAAAATGTGACAGTGATTTATATATATATATATATATATATATATATATATATATATATATATATATATATATGTCGTACCTAGTAGCCAGAACGCACTTCTCCGCCTACTATGCAAGGCCCGATTTGCCTAATAAGCCAAGTTTTCCTGAATATATATATTTTCTCTAATTTTGTTCTTATGAAATGATAAAGCTACCCATTTCATAATGTATGAGGTCAATTTTTTTTATTGGAGTTAAAATTAACGTAGATGTATGACCGAACCTAACCAACCCTACCTAACCTAACCTAACCTATCTTTATAGGTTAGGTTAGGTTAGGTAGAAGAAAAAGTTAGGTTAGGTTAGGTTAGATAGGTTAGGTAAAAACAATTAATTCATGAAAAAACAATTAATTCATGAAAACTTGGCTTATTAGGCAAATCGGGCCTTGCATAGTAGGCTGAGAAGTGCGTTCTGGCTACTAGGTACGACATATATATATATATATATATATATATATATATATATATATATATATATATATATATATATATATATATATATATATATATATATATATATATATATATATATATATATATATATAATATATATAATATATATATATATAATATATATATATATAATATATATAATATATATATATATATATATATATATATATATATATATAAAGTTCATTAAGTATTTCATAAGTTACTCCATCCTCTCCAGGGGCGGTAGATTTCCCAACTTTAATCGCTGTTATTATAGTTCTTTTCTGGTAATACCTGTGCAAGTGACATCACCACTGCTACCTGCTGTAAGTATAAAATCCTTTCTTAGATATTTCCAAGAATCTAATGACTCGTTACAGCGGGTAATGAACTAAGTTTGACAGCTTCCGCCCATTTATTTACGAGACCATTTGCAATTCCTTGCGGGTCAGGATGTACAACAAAATTATGCTTTTTACCCCATAGTTTATTTACGTCTTGCCAGATTTCCTTCAAGTTTCTGTTACTCCCAACTTTCTCTGCAAACTCCAGCCAATACTTCCTCCTAATTTTCTTTCTCTTCTCCCCACACAGCCTAGCAACTGCCAGTAAAGCATTCTCCCCTTCCTCAGTCCTACCATTCTTATTCCAATCCCTGTGAGCTCTCTTCATTGTTAATGTCCACCCCTTAAGCATCTTGTCATGTGTATAATTTTCTTTTCTGGGGGGATGCCTTTTTATACTAGATGTTTTCCGGTTCAATGTTGCATTAAATACATCTACCTCCTTAATTAAATCTTCATAAAATGCTTCTGCCGAAACTGGCTTATAAATATCATGCCAAGACTTAATATGGCCAACAAGACCCCTTAATTCTCCCTCATTAAACTTTAACCTTTTCCTCTGAAGGCAGGCATGCTTTTTATCTAGTTTAAGCTGTATTTGTAATGCAAAATGATCACTTAGCATTTCATCCACAGTAAGACAATTCTCCTCTATGCCCTCAGCATTTATCAAACAAGCATAATCTAATCTCCCTCCCCTCAAATGAGTAGGAGAGGGCTCGCCCAGCAGTTGAACATCTTCATGTTCCTGCAAAAACTGGTACCATCTGCAACCATTCCTATTTGCTTTACCCCTTGATCCTAAAGCTGGATGTCTGGCATTAAAATCCCCTACCACGAGTGTATCTTCAGAAAAGAAGGAATCTGGCAAATATCTTAAATCAAGGGAGCTATCAGAGATGTACAGATTAATGAAATTTAACTCTCGGTTTTTTAATTGTACCCGCAAGCTAATACTTTCAATACCTCTATATCTCTGAGGGATTCCAGTTATCTCGGCAGGTATGGTACTTTTGACATAACATGAGACCCCCCCTAGTTCCTCCATCAGCATATAAGTGAAAACCTCTATAGCCATTTAGCCTCAGAATGCTACCATCCCTATCCTCAGTTTCCTGGAGTGCTACTGTGTCAATTTTCTCTCTAAGAGTATAATAGTGTACCTCCACCGCTCTAGATTTTAATCCATTAACGTTCCAAGATAATATTCTCAATCTACTTTCATCCATGATTAATAATAAAACTACCTTTGCCCTGTCCGTCACATTCCATGAGATACGAGAGTACCTTAGAAACTTCCTTCCAACACCGTAACATTTTTTCTTTCTCCTCACTTTCACAACTACTACTAACATCGAAGGTAATATTATTCATATCTATTTACTTTGTTATTTCTGTATACCGTTTTACTTTAACCTTTCTTTCAACATTTGTCACAACAGGAGGTTGAACACCGCTAACACTACTAGAAAGTGTATTCTCCTGACTATCCTCTATCATCGTTACGTCATGCACATCATTACTTTCACACACGTGAAAGTAATGATGCTTTACGTGAAACACACGTTTCACTTTCCATTTCACGTCCTGTTTTACTTTCAATTACACGTCCTGTTTCACCACCATCTTCACCCCGTCTACCCTCCATAGACAATTTTTCCAATGCCTCAATCCTCTTATCTATTTTTTTTAGATACTCCAAAATTTAATTACCAACCTCAGAGGTGACCATATTGTCCTGAACCTTGTCCTCACAAGGTTTCATTTTTTTCCACTGCATTACTTACTTTCCCTAGGCTCGCCTTAATTATCTCCGTCCCTTTCTCCCACACATTGATCATAGGGGCTGTCGTTGGCTTCCAGCTGTTTCCTCCATGTTCCTCTTGCACAATATTTCCTTGCTGCGAGGATACATCTATCCTTCTTGTAGGACCCGTCCTAGTCTCTTTCAGATGAGGCTTCATGGGGCATAGAGAGGAACCAGCATTGTGGCTGCCTCGACAGTTGCAACAAAATGGGACGATTTTTTAGCTTTCAATCTTGACTACACTCTCGCGAGTCGTGTTTCTTACCACAATACCGACACCTGGGGTCAAACTGGCATTTCCATGCCATATGTCCCCAACGTGAACACTTCATGCATAATATGGCAAAAAATTTGTCCTTGCACAAAAGTTTTCTCCGGCGCCTCACCCTTTACCAAGGCAACAACCTGGCTTTGTTTGTCACCACAAACACTGTTCCTCTTTGTCCATACAACATTATCATTGTTGAGAAGAAGACAGGATCTAAACAAGTTGGAAACTTAAAAACTATGATCTTTGTGTGAAACTTACCTTCTTCTGGAGGAACCATCACAACATTCTCAAAACCAACCGTCGGGAGGCGTTCCACGGCCTTTTCAGTCCCAACTGTTATGTAGGGCCAGTGAAGACCCTCCTTGAAGAGTGGTTCATATTCCAAACACTCTTTAGCTAGACGTACCGTCCACTCCAGCTTTTGGTGGAAATTCAACTGGCATGTTGTAGGGAACAACAGCCTCTTCTATTTAATTAGCAGTCTCCGTGGTGTAGTGGTAAGACACTCGCCTGGCGTTCCGCGAGCGCTATGTCATGGGTTCGTATCCTGGCCGGGGAGGATTTACTGGGCGCAATTCCTTAACTGTAGCCTCTGTTTAACGCAACAGTAAAATGTGTACTTGGATGAAAAAACGATTCTTCGCGGCAGGGGATCGTATTCCAGGGACCATAGGATTAAGGACTTGCCCGAAACGCTACGCGTACTAGTAGCTGTACAAGAATGTAACAACTCTTGTATATATCTCAAAAAAAAAAAAAAAAAAAAAATGCTTCTCTTGAGTCCTGTTGAGTAGGGTCTCATTTTTTGGTCTCTGTTATTTCATCCTCACTCTCACTGTCTGTGAATATTTCGCCGTTTATTTCTGTTCATTACTACTTCAAACGGTCTGTTATCATCTTGGCTGTCTTCCTCACTACCACTTAGGCATATACCGCCTCAGCCATTTCCTCGACACTCAAAGGCACTGTCAACAATCGAGAACAAATTCACAATATCCTGTATCACCACGTGCAAAAACGAAGAGCGTGGGGCAATACTCCACCTCCCACCAAGCAGCGGACGCCAAGAGCGCCAACACTGCGACCGCACACGACCGTGGTCGGTCACGTCTGCGGACACCGGCGATGGTGCAGTATTGGCTATTTAGTTAACCATATCTTGGCTTTCATTTAAGATATATTTTCCTT